AAATCTTTGACCTCAAAGCTTGAAGCTGCTCCTTGTCAAAAACGGCACAAAGTTCCTCCCAAATCAAGTCACGAAATAGGTACCTAGAACTTGTAATGTCGAACTTCAACACTTCGTTAACTCACGAATTGGTCTCCGTTTTCCACGATTAAGGTTCAATGATGTTCATGGACTCCAATGGACCTTTCCCACACAAAAATTGTGCTCAAACAAACCCATAACTTGTCTTTGCAATTTTCCAGAATCCGGCGCCGGCAAGACTCCGGCGAATGCTCCACATTTGGCCGTTTCGTCTCGGAGGCAGCTCGATCTAATTCGCTGCTTCCCACGTGTTCGTCTCTCTTCCAGGAAGCTAATGGAACCATTTCCAAGCTTCGATTCTGCCCCAATCGAGCCCAATCGCGACGCCCGCGTTTCCCGCCATCGGGAATTTTGAAAATTCCAGATTCCGGCGAACCATGTTTGAAATTGGGGGTCTTCAAATCCGGTATGTTCGTGGCGATTTCTCGTTCCCTACACCTTCCTTGTGTGTCCAAGAACGTAACCCAAGTGCTGGTTTGCGTGGAATCCTCTCCAAACTCCGCAACCGATTCATCAATTTTTTGGTCGTGTTTCGTCAAGTTTCTGCCCGAGATTTTCAAATTGGGGGTTTGTAATCCAGGGTTCTTCGAGGCCAATTGAACAATCCAACACACTCCAAAGGACTCCCATGATGATTCTGCAGCACGAATACTGCTCCAATCGAGCTGGAGAGCTCTGCGCAATAAGGGGTCTTGGTTGCACTTCGTCGTTACAAACAGAGGCGTTTTTGGACGGATTGTTTCTGCCGATTCAGGTGTGATCACTTGCAATGATGGTACACCTGACGTTCCTGGGATTTTGTGGATCGTTTTGGCCCCAGTGGCGAAGTTAGACGCTTTGCCGGTTGTTCCAACCAAATCGTTCACTCTCCTACTCTGTTTCACCGAAAAAATTGGAACTTAGGCTGCTCTCGTTACCTGATCGATTCGTGCATCGTTGGTTGGCTCCGGGACTTCTCTTCGACTCTCAGTCCTTCTTTCCAACTCCATGGACTCGTCTCTGGCAGCTTCGAACTCTAGCTTTGCCTCCTCGTCGCCGACATGACTGTTGGCGTCGTAACTCTGTTTTTCAGGGGATACACAGAGCTCATTGGAGGCTGCTGGCTCAAACTCTGGTACGTCCTTCTGGTGCTTCCTAAAGCTCAGAAATTGAAACCGACACGACTCTGTACCCACAACTACGCTCGAACGCCCTTTCCTTCGTTCCTCCTCTCCTCCATTGTCTTGAGATCGGCATAAACGTCGTTGGGCGACATAGGCTTCAATTTGATCTTCTTTCCATCATTTTTGAGGGTGTACGAATTCTCCCAACCATCATGGATCACCCTTCTATCGAATTGCCAAGGTCTACCCAGCAAAATATCGACATTTTGCATTGGAACAACATCACAAAGCACAGAATCCAAATACTTACCAAGGCTAAACTCGATTTGCACTTGTTTGTTGACCTTCAAGTCTCCATGCCCGTTGAGCTAGGTGAGATGATAAGGCTTAGAGTGCTTCTGGGTATTCAATTCCAATTTTTGCACGGCATAAGCACTGATCAAATGAGCGCAACTGTAACATCTCGTTCCGGCAAAACCCATATATAATTCCCCCTCCCGACCATTCTTTCCCATCCAATTCATTTTGTTCTTTCTTTTGCTATTTATGGACCGAGAGAAGCAGAGCGACCAGAGTTCAAGGGAGCAACGCGAGGGAAAAATTTCACAGCTCAATTCTTAAGCCCTAGGGATCCAAAAATCCCGTAAGTAATGCCTAATCCATCCTTATGTCATAGTTTATCGATTTAGAGCTTTAAAACGAGTTTTTGATTCAGGAATTTATTGAATTTCTAATAAGCCAAATTAGGGTTTCGGAGTATCCGGAAGCCGGATTGAGTCCAAATTTCATATACGAGCTTCCTGCAGCGAGGTAATCAATCCTCTAGTTCTAATCCATGAATTTAGGCAATTATTTAGGTCGGGGTCCAAATCGCTGAATTTATCTCCGACCAGGGTTTGATGTGTTTTTATCGAGAATTTGATCCGAAGCCTAGGACTAATATTGACGGGGGCTACTGCAAGGGATATTAGGACGGTCTCGGATTTTAATTCGGGGTTCGTTCGTGAAATTGACGTTTTAGTACGGGAGGCTAGAACCGGTGTTTGAACGACCATAACTGGTGATGGAATAGCACGCCATACCGGGTTTGTCGTATCACGATAATTATATTGATGCTAAGAATTGACCTAGGTAAATTAGAATGGCATGATTAGGGGTGTATAGACTCTTATGCTATATGATGAACCATGGACTGTTGTATGATATTATTGACTTGCCCTATCTGATATGAACCTTGTTTATGTTGATGATTGCATACATGTTGCCATTTGTGGCTTAACCGTTGATATGACTTCATGGTTGTTCGATCAGGTGTTTTGACATGATCTGATATTGTGGTTGTATTTGGATTCACAAGTGGGGGAAATAAACTTCCCAGGGTGATATTATGATGTTTAAGGAGGATGACTTGCACGAGGGTTTATCCCGAGGAAGTGCAATTATACGACTCCTGATTTACCTATGTTGAGCCAATTATGGCCAGGTCAAGTTCATGTGCAAGTAACAAATTATGATTAAGCAAGATGAGATATGGATCATGTGTAAGATTACCAAATAAGAGTGATTTGGTCTCATGGACAATTACATAGTAATTAGGGCTCCCCATTCTATTACTCCGTTATGATATGTTATGTCACACCCCTGATGTGGGGTTGACCGTTGATTCATCATGAGATATGACCACACCCAGAGTGGTGTTGAGTACGATATGACCACACCCAGCGTGGTGTCAGGTTCGATATGACCACACCGCAGTGGTGGGTCCGATATGACCACATCCACGAGATGTTTGGTCCGTATTCCCGGGAGAGTAATTAGCATGGGAGTAGCCAGGCGCCTATGATTAAAACATGATATGATGCATATGCATAAGTCAAGGTGGTTGAGTCTTTTGCCTATTGGGATATGAGGATGGTTGAGGTCCGATCCTAGTGTTTTGGCTTGATTGTTAGATGTGTGATAGGGGTATGCTCTGTTATGAACTCACGATGCTATGATTATCTCACTCAGCTATGAGCTGACCCCCTTTTATTCTTCTTCTCTACTTATGCTATGTGTAAGCATATCATCAGCAGCAGCGGTAGATAAGTGTTAGGTGGGAGAGGAGCTAGAGTTGAAGCCGGGATGAGGTATGGTCTTCAACTATTTTGTGCTTGGACGACTACTCGGGATTTTGGCCAGTGATACACACCTTTTTGTAAAAATGTTTTGAGAACGTTTTTCATGTGCATACTAGCTTCTGATGTAGTGTGAGATATCCACAGGTGTGGGAAGTTGATGATATGTGTATATGTTGTGTAACTGTGTAAGTTGTGACGATTATGGTATGTATAAGTATGGTATGTAGTTGTGGAGTATGAAAAGTTTGACTATGGCTAAGAAAAGCCAATACATATGGTTGTGAGTATATATGTTTGTGATGAATTATTTTGCAGGATAAGTTGCAAGAACTGTTAGCCCATTACGCGAGAAATTGATGTCGAAATTTTATTTGGGTAAATTTTGATAATTAATGTAACACCCGAGATTAATTCCGCTGTAATTGTATGAACAATATGATTAGGCAAAACGTATAGGGTAGGGTGTTACAGCAACTCCCTCCATCGATTACCAATGAAAGATTTTTGCCGTTAACGTAACACCGGCTGTGAAACAAGTTGCCCCGCTGCTCGTCGGGCTCTCTATACTTGATTACGATGGTTGGCTGCTTCTTTTTGCAACTATTTTGCAGCTTCGTTGCCTCTACATTGCTCTCCACCATCTCGTTGCCAAGAACTGAAAAAATTCAAGCACAAACAGGGGCTGCCCTGTTTCGGAACTCGAGAAATCTGCTTGTACGAAACAGTAGGATCTTCTTCTCCTTCACCCTTGTGTGGAACCGGGCTCTGAAACCACTTAATACGCCCCTGGGGGTGTATATTATCAAAGTCACGCAGCTAAAGCGCTCTTAATACGAACTTGGAATAAAACGGAACCAACGGACAATTCCACACCTGGGGAAAGCTCGTATGGTATTACAGGGTAGTTGCTCAACCACGATTGAAGAGAATATTCAATCGATACAAATCTCACAAGTTTGGAATCCACCAAACTCAAACAAGTTCGCAAACTTGAACAAACCAAACGGTTTCCTTTCGATTAATCAAAGTCTTCTCTTTTTAGAACGTAAATATAACGGTATTTGAAGACAAATAAAACCTAATACAATCCTAATAGAACTAGAAAACAATTGTGGTAAAAACAAACTCTAAAAAGGACTCAAAACTCGGCCATAAACTCTCTTTCTTCAAGCACAAGCAAGCTGCCAGCAAAACAGTCAAAAGGCAGCTTTTGTACTAACTTCACGCCATTCGTTCGAGGCCTTCCCGAACTCCAATCCTTCATCCAATTCCTTCCCTTTGTACATAAACATATCTGGTTTCATGTTGTGGAAGCCTTTTGACTTGAATCCCATCCATGATCCTTGAATTGAGCTCCAAAGTAGGCTTCACAAAACAGTTTTCTGCCGCCATTTTCTGGCAGTTTTCCAGTTTTGAGGTAGTAACTTTGAGGCCTTGGAAAACAGCCTTAATGACATCTTCTGGATCCTCAAAGCATACCATTGGAAACATGGAAACTTTATCTGTAAAACATGCTCTTGAAATCCAATTTTCAGTGAGCCAATTGTGAGAACCATGCCTCCAAAGTAGGCATCTCGAAACTGTTTCAACACTTGGCCAAAAATCAGAATTCTTCAAGTGAGTTGAGATGACTTCTTTGGCAAGCAATTGAGAATTGTGTATTGATCCAATTGGGATCATATCAAGCTCTTTCCCCTTAGCCCTGGGAACAAGAAAATGCCTTCTTCAACGACTCATTGGAGAAGAGCGGTGAAGACGATGGTTCAAAGTTGAAGAAGGTCGTCGATCTGTGGAAGGCGATCATCCAGATCTCACCTCTGGGTAAAATTTCCTTTGAGCTAGGGGGCGAGGCAACAAAGTCACCAGCAGCTAGGGATTCAAGCTCGCCAACTCCAACAATCTCTTCCGACGCCGCCATTGTCACGAAACTCTGCGAGGGTGACAAAGAGCGGCGAATGAGCAGGAAAAGAAGGACAGGAGAGAAAGTAGACGTGGTAGAGCATCAGAGGAGCTAGTTTCGCTGATCTAAAGAGAAGGAGCGCCAAAATTCGGGAGCCCAATTTATGCAGTCCCTTCCATCTCGATTTCCTTAGTGACCGAGCCGATTTCTTCTTGAGTTTGTTGTCGTCTATTGTGTTGGGGAAGAATGGGGAGGGAGGAGGAAGAATCAAAGCATGGCAATGAATATTGGCAATTCAATTTCAATTCAATCCCTTAGGAATCAAGCTCTGGCATCACTCTATCACGGAATATATATATGTATGAGTTTGCATCGGTGATCCGACGCGAGGAGTTGGCCGCGAAGACCCGGTCGCACAGGGACAAGCATTTGGGCTGGTGGTGATTGTTTCTCCAACTATGGATTATCTTGTGGCGATGGTAGCGATGGTACGTTCACTGGTTCATTTCATGGAGGCGGGGACATTCACGGTGTGTCGTATGCTTCTATAGGAGGTCTTGATTGGTTTGATTCGTCGGAAAGCGAATCACCTCCCGTGGGTAGCGATGGCATGCCTGTAACCAAGTGGGAAAAAAGTCATTGATGATGAAGCAAAAACTGAGAAATCACAGTTGTTGCTCTGAATGCAAAGAAACTCAATGTTATTGCCGAGAAAGAAATCACCGGGTTTGAGAGATGGAACAACTGGCAGAAGTAGGCATGGGATGCACTGATGATGGGGTTTTCTCCACCCTTTTCTCCTGCTTGGTCAGTGCACCTTCCGCACCTTTTGATAAGGGCATTGTATGTTTGGGGTCATCAGTCCATTGCCTCTGATAACAGCTCTAGCCGGAGATATGAGAGAGAGAGGGGGGAGAGTTGAAGAGGCAGGGGAAGAGAATGAATGATTTTCTCTACTCATTTGAAAAAATATTATTTTTATTTCACTCAAATACACATGGATAGCAATAATTATCCACTCTTTGACCACAATAGCCATTTTTTTGAAAAGTACACAAAATAGTCAATCTGTCAAAAAACGGACTAATTACGAATGCTGATTGGACTAACGGTTGTGGTTGACGTGGCATATTATTTTAATTGAACAAATAAAAAAATGCAAAGTGAGAATTAACATCTTTGTTTTAATTAAGTGAAAACCCCTACAATCCATTTCACCGCTTAGGCTTCCCCTTCCTCTTCTTCTTCTCGCCGCTGCCAATCATTCGTCGCCACATCCACGAGCTCTTTCCCCTTAGCCCAACGAACAAGAAAATGCTTTCTTCAACGACCCATCGGAGAAGAGTGGTGGTAGTTGTGGTGGTGGTCCGAAGCTGAAAAAGGTCATCGATCTGTGGACGACATCCAGATCTCGCTACCGGGGAAGTTTTCTTTAGAGCTAGGGGAGGGGGCCACGAGTCACCAGCAACCGAGTAGTCAAGGTTGCCAACTCCGACAATCTCTTCTAATGTCGCCATTGTCATGAAACTCTACGAGGATGCAAAAGAGCGACGGAGGAGTAGGAAAAGAAGAGCTGGTGAGAAAGGAGTCGAGGTAGAGTAGCAGAGGAGCAAGTTTCGCTAATATGGAGAGAAGGAGCGCCAGAATTTGCCAGTCAAATTTATCCAGTCCCTTCCGTCTCGATTTCCTTGGTGACTGAGCTGATTCCTTCATGAGTTTTTCGCCGCTGTTGTGTCAGGAAAGAATTGGGACGGGAGAAGGAATAATAAAAGCATGATAGTGAATATTGGCAATTCGATTGCAATTTAAGTCCTTGGGAATCGAGCTCTAGCATCAGTAGATCTACTAGTTCGCATTGGAGATCCGACGCGAGGAGTTGGCTACGGAGACCCGTTCGCATATAGAGAAGCATTTGGGGCTGGTGGTGATTGTTTCTCCGACTACGGATTCTCTGGTGGGGGCGGTAGCGATGGTACCTTCAATGGCTCAGTTTATAGAGGTGGCAATGTTCACGGTGTGTCATATGCTTTTCTATGAGGTTTTTATTGGTTTGATTCGTCAAACGACGATTCACCTCCAGTTAGAGATGGCCTGTCTGTAACGAAGAGGGCAAAAAGATGTTGATAAATAAGCAAAAACAGAGGAATCACTGTTGTTGCTCTGACTACAAAGAAACCCAACACTGTTGTTGGGAAAGAAATCGTCGGGTTCGAGAGATGGAACAACCACCAGAATTAGGCATAGGATGCACTGTTTTCTCTATCCTTTGCTCCTCATTGGCCAGTGCACCTTCCGCGCCATTTGATAAGAGCATTGCATGTTTGGGTCATCAGTCAATTGCCTCTACTAGCAGATCTAGCCCGAGATATGAGAGAGAGAGAGGGGGGGGGGGGGGGGGGGGGGGGGGGGGAAGAGTGGACGAGGGAAGGGAAGAGAATGAATGATTTTCTCTCTTCATTTAACAAAAAGTTTAATTATTTTCATTTTACTCAAATATGACGTGGCAGTTATTTTATGATTTGGCGCTGATGTGGCGTCCAAATCAATTTTGAGTAAACATTTTAATGTTGTTATTCGCAGCATTAAAGAATTTAACAAAAATGACTATATCTGTCAAATTAGTTTCAAAATTATTGCTACATCTTTATATTTTTCAAAAATTGGTTATTATTGTTATAAAGTTGATAGTGGTCGCTATCTAGATGTAGTTTGCCTAATATTACTATAAATTTAGTTTATCATTGGTTTATTGATGTGTTGTATTCTAAACTATAAGATATTATTTTCCTCGTAACATGTAAATTATAAGTAAATATTTATTTACATTGTGTTAGACTATCCCTTCCCCTTAGACTGTCGTGCAAACCCCAACCTCCGAAAACATAATTCAGACTCGACAGTCAACAAAGTCGCATCCGATTTTGAGAGGCTCCTTGTAACACTCCGACATTTAGGTTTAGGTTCGACCTTAATACGTGATCGGTTGGGTTAAAAGTTGTGTACTAAAAGTTGCAATCGCGGATTAGTAATAATAATAATAATAACTATTATTATTTTATAATTATAAAATAAATAAATATATATATATATATATAGATCTTGGCCCGAGCGGCCCTCAATTAATTTCCCCAAACCCTCTCCATTAGTCTCCCCAGAGAGCAAGCCCCCGCCGCCAACACTCGCCCCAGCGCGAGAGAAAAAATAAAAAGAAAGAAGAAAGCAGCAGTGCCGCTCACAACTGATCCCGACCCCGATTCCGATCCCATCCCTTTCGCATTTCTTGGTAAGGATCACGAACCCCTTCGCGATTTCTAAACTCGATTCACCGATAGTCAAATCCGAAGCTCGTATTTTTATTAGCGGTGATGTTGAGGGTTCGATCAACAAGGAGATCAACATCCCGGGTCATCCAACCTAGGCCTAGGCACGTTCTAGAGGTAAGGGAACTCGATCCCTTTGAGTTAGGTAGATTAATTTGGGGATTTATTCGTGAGTGTGCAATTCTGAGTTTTAGCAACAAACGTTATAGGCTTTTAGTGACAGATTATGGGTGGTTACTAAAACTGCTGGGAATTTGCAGAAACTTATTTTAGATGTTTCAAATTTTTTCGAGTCTCTGTGGGTATTTTTTTCCTGGGTTTAAAAAAAATTAAATTGAGGGACGTCTAGTTGATGTCTATGATTTAATTTGGGGATTTTTAAAGATGTATTTCTATTTTTAGAAATTGTTTGAATATTCTTTCTAATTAAATAAAGATTGTTCCGAGGGATTTTTAAGCGTCTGATAATTTTCCAGGGTATAGATACTCATGATTAATGTAGGAAAATTATTATCCGAATTTAAGAAGGTTAAAGTTAGATGGAAAATTCATCCAAGACTAAAATAATTAGAAAAAATGGTCAGTTTTGAAGGGATTGTTTCTAGAAAATTTTTAAAGGTGGTTAAGGGACCTTGGGAGCGAGTCTCGAGGGCTAGATTTTGAGGAGAGGATGTTCTAGTGATTCAAAAGGTAATTCTAACTCTTGAAAGGTCGACTAAGGAGATGGCCTTCTTATTGATAGGTTCACCAAGATAATTTGGCTAGGAGGGATTTCTTCGAGTAAGGAATCGAGGAGTCATCTTTTCAATGTTAGTGTAAAGGGGTTAAATTCTACGCCTTACGTGGTCTTCAAGTATTACGAGCTTTAAGTATTTTTACGGAGTGATTGTCGTTGGTTGATTGTGTTTATGGTTGATGATATGTGATTTTGTTTGAGCTATGTTTGAAGTGAATGTGCATGAGTTATTGTATACTTTACAGCTTTACGTTTAAAAGTTATTGTTAAAGTTTAAGAAACAAGTTTTTGTTAGAAGTAACTCACCCTCAAGAAGGTGAAGTCGTTTTAAGTGTTTTTAGTCACTAGCGCCAGTCCGTTGCCATTTGAGATTTTCAGACAGAGCAGCAGTTTTGCTCTTGAGACTTTTAAGATGAGCAGCAGTTATGCTCTTGAGAATCGTGGAAGAAGAGCCTTCCACGATAAGTTTAAGTTTAAGGAAAGCCTGGAAGGCTTTTCCTACGTATGAGTTGGCAACCGGACTAGCTAGTGAGGGATCCCAGTGTCAGTCAAATATTTAAGTTAAGATTTGAGCTTTAAGAATAAATTTTAAAGAGTGGAAGCACCGGTTTAAGTTAAGTTCTTAAGTAAGAAATACTAGAGATTTCAATCGTAAGGGCGTAGACTGACCCCAACTCACTCACCAGATCGTAGAGGAGGAAATCCTAACCAGCCAGTCCGTCATCAGCAAGCCAGAGGAGCTCAACACCGCCGTCGCTGAGAGATGTCGAGCCAGGTGTCAGAGTAAGCATCGAGGAACTTTTTCAAGTTATTAAGACTTTATGGTTAAGAGTTAAAGACTGGAGATTCATTTCTTTTGGACTATTTGAGTTTTGCCCACGTGTTTAGGGTTTCGATTTGAGATATTAAGATATTTGAGTTTGGAATTTTATTTAAAGTTGTGTTATTTGAGATTTTTAATTAAACCCCGGAGTAGAAATGTCTTTTTCCAAGTTCAAAGTAGTGGGATGATTCATTTTGGTATCAGAGCCGGTCTTCCTCTGTTTCTTGGTTCCCAAGAAATACTGGAATGTAGGTCTCAGTTTTTAAAGGTTTTGTTTTTTAAGATTTCAAGCCAAAGTTTGGCCAAACAAGTCAAGGTTTTTTTTAAGAATTTTGAATATCCAGTCTACTCTAAACCATATTAAGGAAGAAATAACAGAGTTCTAACGAGACCATGTGTGTCTACAGTGCAAGTGTTGGCCCGAACCCCAAACCACCGGTGCCATTACCAGAGAGACGTCCATCAGACTATGTAGGTTTCCGGAAGAGAAAGGTGGAAGACTTTAAGGGGGAGCGTTCAACGGACCCCATGGAAGTAGAGCAGTGGCTAGCTAAGGTCACTCGTACGCTGGTCGAGATGAGAGCTGATGACGAGGACAGATTACTGCTGACTGTGTCCTTACTGCAGGACGCTGCATACAACTGGTGGACTACCCAGCCAGCTAGTCGAGAGGATCCACCGGCCATCACTTGGCCAGAGTTCGTGCAACTGTTCAAAGACCACTTCATACCAGAGGCCTACCAGATCGGGAAGCAGAGGGAATTTATGCTAATCAGGCAGAAGTGGGGCAGTGAAGGCAGGGAGAGTGTGACTGATTACACGACCAGGTTTGACAAGCTACTTACTTATGGAGGGCCTCAATTTCAGGATGTAGCAGCTCAACACACCCATTACCTAGAGAGCCTGAAGCCTGCTTTTCGGCGCCAACTGAGTATACTGAACAATAGGGAAGAGATTTATCAGGAAGCTCTTTGGTTGGAGAGGGCGGATATTGCTCCGCATGAGGAGGGAATGCAACGTGAAGGCAATAAGAGAAAGGCTGCTAGCCTGTCTGAGGGGCCAGGACAGCCGAGTCAGCAGAGAAGGAGACCATCCCAAATCTATCATGGGGCCACCCAGAGCCAGGTCGGCTCAACCAGATCAGGGTCGGCCTACATTCCTTGGGACCCATGTAACTAGTGTGGGAGAACTCACCCGGGAGAGTGTAAGGTGCATCTGGGAGGCATCTGCTATCACTGCAACGAGCCGGGCTACTAGGAGAGGAGGGTAGGGGAGAGCCCAGTCCGAACAATCAGTCCGAGGCGGAGGAGGAAGAACTCAGACCCGACAGCAGTTTGGAAACCATCCAAACCGGTCCTATCACCAGCAGGGAGGCAATGCAGGGCGGTTCAACCGCAATGAGCGAGATCGAGGGCAAGGATCTCAAGCATCTGGGCAACCAAGACTGTTTGCAATGAGGAGAGAAGAAGCTGACGTTGCACCTGAGGTGGTGACTGGTATGATCTCGCTTTACCACCAGCCAGCTTTTGTATTATTTGATTCCAGTTCCACGCTACTCTTTCATTTCTACCAAGCTTGCTAGAACCTTAGGAGTCCCATTTGTGAGGTTGGGGTAGAATTTAGGGGTCAGGACTCCAGTGGGGGATACCCTTATAGTAGACTCAAGTCATTTGGGATTGTTCTATCATCGTGGCGAGGCACGAATTCGTGGCGAACCTAATTCTACTACCCTTCGACGAGTTTGATGTTATCTTGGGTATGGATTGGCTGTCAAAGAATAGAGCGAAGGTGGACTGCTACAAGAAGGAGGTTATCCTGGAGGTAGAAGGAAAGGGAACTTCTCTGTTCAAAGGGACTAAGAAGCTTATTCCTGGGTGCTTAATCTCCGCGGTTAAGGTATTCTCATTGATTCAAGAAGGATGTGAAGCATATTTAGCTCATGGTAAGGAGGTGCAAGAGAAGAAGATAGAAGATGTACCTATCGTAAGGGAATACCCCGAGGTATTTCCCGAAGATCTCCCTGGGCTACCGCCACAACGAGAGATGGAATTTGATATTGAAGTGATTCCTGGCACGGCACCAATAT